TAAAGAGCATGTGAGTATTTGCATCTGCAGGGCTCAGGCATGGGAGATGTGGTGCCTTGCGGAGCAAATGCCGTGTTTCCATTCTGTGCCTCTTGTAGCAGGCTTTCTACAACACCAGGAAAATTTGCCATGGGCAGGTGGGCCTGGGGTATTTTTGTTGATAAGTAGCGTAAACTATTTATTACCTGCGTCAGTCGTTCTCCACCTATTCACCAGTGAGGGCTGCATAAGCAGCTCTCTCTGTTATGTTGGTCCCGTCCACCCAATATGAGCTGCATGGCCCTGAGGATGTTACACGGGCTGCAGCTGTGTGCTGATTGGCCTGCAAGTAGCACACATATCACAGGTTGTAAACCACTGCAAGAAGCACAAACAACCCTTTGCCTTATCCCAATGCCCCAGCACAGCTGAGGCCTCACGTTAGTGAATATGCTCAGAGATCACTTTCTGGTCAGTAGGAAGACCAGGCTGGAGAGTAAGGCTGGTCTTATGGTGAAGGAACTAGCCTGAGATTCTGCAATTCCGTGTTTCATAGAATCAGAGAATATTAGAACTGGAAGGGACCTCAATTGATCATCAAGTCCAGTCCCCTGCCCTCAGGGCAGGACCAACCACCATAGATCATTCTTGATCGGTGTCTATCCAATATCTCCAATGTTGGAGCTTCTACAACCTTCCTAGGCAATTTACTTCAGTGTTTAACCACTCTGACAGTTAGAAAGTTTTTCCTAATGTCCAGCTTAAATCTCCCTTGCTGCAATTTAAGCCCATTGCTTCTTGTCCTGTCTTCAGAGGCCAAGAACAATTTTTCTCCCTCCTCCTTGTAACACCCTTTTCGATACTTGGAAACTGTCGTGTCCCTTCTTAGGCTATGTCTACACTATGGAGTTTTTCGGAAAACTGCTGCATCCAGGGAACGCGTCTGCTCTTCCAATTTTTTTTCCGGAAGAGCAGATGAGCTCTTTCGGATGTCCTGTATTCCTCTTCTTATGAAGAATAAAGGCTCTTGTGAAAGGAGGTTTTTCCAATATTTGGCCCCGTGTAGAAAGGCCAAATGTCAGAAAAGCCTCTTCCAAAAAAAAAAAAAAAAAAAAAAAAAAAATGGAAAAAAAAAAACAC